TAATCATAATACAAACGGCACTTTTGCCGCACTCGAAGTGAGAGCAGCCGTCGACACACTTGCGAATACCGCTGGCGTCCGGTTGACAGATGTCGTTAGGGTTGGCGCAGTCGATGTCCACATCGCAACCGTGGATCGGAATCGGGACACAACCGGCTCTGGTCTGGGGATCGCCAGTGAATCCGGGATCGCATTTGCACTGACCCTTGTGTTGCAGTGAAACGCATTGCGAGTTCGGAGTGCAGGTGAAGTCAATGCACGCTTCGGCACATTTCAGTGATCCAAAGGGTGACGATTTGCAGGATTCAAAGGACGGACAGTGAGAGTCTTGATTGCATTCATTGGTTTTGGGTTTGCAAACGGCGTTCTGGTCTCTGACGAAACCGCCGATACAATCGCAGAAAGCCGTGTGATTGGAGGCCACGCAATGAGATCCAGTGCCACAACTCGTGAACTGACACGCGTTGAAGCACTTCTTGAGGCCTTCGTTCATTGGTTTGCAGACGTCTGTGGGTTCGCGACAATCGAAGTCAAACTCGCATTCATTGGTTTCCTTCTGTCGACATCCGTTCAGTACATTATCGGCGTCTCCGACATAACCGGACAGACAAAGACACTGAGCCTTATGGCCGACGCCTTTGCAGTTAGAGTTGGGACCACAGGTGACGGCTTCGCACGCGTCCACGCAATCCAATATTCCGGACGGCGTTTGTTTACACGTCTGACTGGAGTGACAGTCGATGTCAGTATCGCATACATTGCGGCGAACGGGTTGACAGCCGTGGATGAGATCATAGGCGTCGCCGTCGAAGCCCGCGGCGCAGAAACATTGGGTTTTGTGATAACTGGGTCTACAGATGGCGTTTTTGCCGCACTTGACGTATAGGCAAGCGTTGGCACACTTGCGAGCGTTGGCCGTATCGGTTCGGCACACGCTATCGAAGCGGCGCAGAAACATTGGGTTTTGTGATAACTGGGTCTACAGATGGCGTTTTTGCCGCACTTGACGTATAGGCAAGCGTTGGCACACTTGCGAGCGTTGGCCGTATCGGTTCGGCACACGCTATCGATGGCGCAGTCTTCGTCTGATTTGCATTCGTCGGGATTGACACACATGTGGGTCGGGTCGCCGACAAAGCCCTGTCGACAAGTGCACTGCGCCCTGTGGTTAGCGGTCGCGCAAACGGCGTTCTCACCGCAGAGGGAGTGTTCGCACACGTCTTTGCATTGGTTGATGCCTTGGGGTCCGCGAACACAGACCGCGTTTGACGGACAGCTGTCGTCGCTCTCGCATTCGTGGGGTATTTTATAGCAGCCAACTGTGCCATCGCCGGGCCGTCCGGTGTAACCCTCTTTACAGGTACACGAGACGAATTGGTTGTTTGTATTGCACAGAGTGTCGGGTCCGCAGAGGTTAGCACTGCAGCCGTCGACACAATCTTTGATTCCGTTTTGGTTCAAAAGACACGCTTCGGTTGTCTTGCAGTCGGTATTTGACGTACACTTGTCTTTCGGCGAACAGCCTCTCAACAGATCCTCTGGACTGCCGAGGAATCCCTGTTTGCACTGACAGTGGGCCTGATGTTCAACGGACACGCACTGAGCGTTTGGTCCGCATCTGATTGTCTGACAGACATCCATACAATCGAGTACTCCTTTTCTGGTCGTCGCGCAGATCTGGTCTTCTCTACACTCGCGGTCCGATTGGCAGAGATTGGGAGCGCAGGCGCCGCTCGTGTCGCCAGCGATACGGGTATAGCCCTGAAGGCACTCACACTGTGGCCTATGGTTTTTGCCCACACAGTGGGCGCCTTCACTGCATACCTGTCCGACGCATGTGTCCACACAATCCCTGATGTTTTCGACAGTGAGAATGCATTTCTTGTCGTGAGAGCACTGATCGTCTCTATCGCACAGATGTTGCGGTGGTTTCTGACAACTTCTGATGGCATCGCCGATAAAACCGGGCAAACATTCGCAGACCGCCTGATGGCCTCTTCCCACGCAATGCGCGTTTAGACCGCACCTCACGTTCAGACAAATATCGGTACAATTCTTGAATCCATTAGGAGTTCGACGACAGGCCTGATAGTCGGGACAACTGGTGTCGTCAGCGCACGTGACCTGCAATGGTTGGCACCCAAAGCGCGTGTCGTAGGCGTCGCCCGCGAAGTTTGGCCGACACTCGCAGTAAGCCGTGTGTCCGGCGCCGCGACAGACAGTATTGATGCCGCACTGGAAGTCCTTACAAACGCTCTGACAGTCTTTGAAGCCTTGGGGCAGAAGAACGCACGTCTCGTCGGCGTTACAGTCGCCGTCTTCACGACAAATGGGAGGATTACAGCCTTTTTGCAGATCATATGGATTTCCGTCGTAATTGTCATTACAGTTACATTCAGGACTTGGGGCAGAAGAACGCACGTCTCGTCGGCGTTACAGTCGCCGTCTTCACGACAAATGGGAGGATTACAGCCTTTTTGCAGATCATATGGATTTCCGTCGTAATTGTCATTACAGTTACATTCAGGCCGTCGTCCCATCGATTGACACATAGCGTTGGGTCCGCATTGAATGCCAGCGCATACATCGGCGCACCGGCGCTCGCCATCCGGCGATTGTCGGCACACGTATCCATCGGTACAGTCGTCGTCAACACCGCAACTGATGACAGCGATGGGTGACGTGCGAGGCGTACAGCCCTTCTCGAGGTCGTGGGGATCACCCAAATGGGAGTCTTTGCAGTAACACAACGGCTTGTGTTCAGTGCAGATGCAGAAGGCGTTTGGTCCGCATTGAGTGGTATCGCACGGATCGACGCATTGGTAACCGATCTCTTTGTTGACAAAATTACAGGCGTTGTTAGTCTCGCACTGGGAGTCGTGTTTGCAAGCGTTTGGTTGCGCGCAAATGCCTCGGAAACAGAAGGCACCCGTCGGGCAGTTGAATGTTGTCGAGCACGAGGTGCCGACACCACCCGTCAGGTCTTCGATGCGCGGCGGTTGACAGGCGTAGAGTGGGTTACCGATGAAACCTGACGGACATATGCATTGGTAACTGCCGATCACATTGACACAGTTGGCACCCGTTCCGCATGGGTTTCCCTGAAGGCATTCGTTGACGTCTTCGCAGCCGAGGAATGGATTGCCGTGCAGTCCTGCGGGACAAATGCACTCAACACTGGTCGCCCCCTCCAGACAGGAGGCGCTCTGACCGCACACTATGTTCTCACATCTGGGCACTGATGTACACGATTTGTATGGATTTCCACTATAGCCTGAATTGCAGACACACTTATTGGGTGTGGAGTACGTGCAGTGAGAGTTGAGACCACAGCCCGGGGCACAGATGGGAGGCGTCGGCAGCGGAGGTGCGCACAGAATATCGGGATTTCCAATAAAGAAAGGCAAACATTTGCATTGATTGGTGTGAAGATCGCATTTGGCTCCGACTCCACACTTGCTGTCGTGACAGCTCTCCACACACTTGCCGTCAATGCATTCCTGACCGGCGAGGAGACAGGGCTTCGACGCCGAGCAGCCGGAGTCGGGATGACATCCGCCGCCGGCCCAGGGGTTGCCGTTAAAGCCATTCATACACTGACAGATACCGACGTTCTCGCTGTTGACAATACAGTGTGCGTTAATACTGCACCAAACGTTAGTGCAGGGGCTGACACATCCCTGGATCAAATCGTTAGCGTTGCCGGTGAAGCCAGGCTTACACTGGCAAAGGGGCTCGTGATTGACGGACACGCAGTCGGTGTTGGGCCCGCATATGGCCGCCAGACACGCGTCGTTACAAACGCCCGCCTGTCTGTCGCATACGGTATCGTCCGGACAGTGAGAGTTGGTCTCACATTTGGCGCGACCAAAACAGCCCGATGTATACGGATCTCCATCCGCTCCCTGAGAGCACTCGCACTTATAACTGCCCAATACGTTCACACATATGGCCGATACAGCGCACGGACCGTTCGGATCGATCGGCAATAGAGACGTGCATTCATTGATATCTATTTGTTAAAGTTTTAAAGTTTAAAAACGTGTTAAAAGTTTGCAATTTCTTACAGTTCGTGTGACAAACTGTAAGAAACATTTGCCCATTCTATGAATCGCCTGGTGTTGTTATATACATGGTTATGGGTCTATATTGCTCGCAATACGTCCCATAACTCTGTATTACTTAATAACAATAATTGATAAAGGTCAAATGGCACTTTAAAACCACTTTATAATTGAACTGTAAGGCACACCAAGCGATTGATAGCGCAGGTAATTGAAACGGTGACAATTTATTGCACACATACCGATGCAACCAGTGTTTGGATCTCCAGTACAGCCTGTTTTACAGCGGCATTGCGTCCCATTCGCACCCAAAGAGCACTCGGCGTTTTGGCCGCATTGGTGCCAATCACACGGATCTGACATTACATTGAAATCATATTTTAATTAATATTTAAAACATTTATTATATCATATAATTCATAGCTTATAAAATGAAAGTACAGCAAACAATACATACGTTTACAGGTTTGGCCGACTTGTATGAAAGGTGGCAAACATTCACACCATTTACGGACACACTTGTGGTTTGGCGTACATTGACTGTCCTTTTCGCACGATTGGTCTGATAAACACATTTCAATCATTAATATTTTTCGTGACATACTTTAACTGTAATATTTGATACTTACAAATACGGGTACAACCGGTGCGGCCGACACCAGAGTATCCCTCACCGCACAGGCATTCATAAGCACCGGGAAGATTGACGCACTCGGCGTTGTTTCCGNTGACATACTTTAACTGTAATATTTGATACTTACAAATACGGGTACAACCGGTGCGGCCGACACCAGAGTATCCCTCACCGCACAGGCATTCATAAGCACCGGGAAGATTGACGCACTCGGCGTTGTTTCCGCATAATTCAAATTCATTCATTTCCTCGCATTCATTGATATCCCGACAGAAGCCGTTCGCCTCTAATGTGAATCCTTTCGGACAAATACAATATCCATAACCAGAACCCGAATAAATGCAGTCTTGGTTTTGGGGACACGTATTGAGTGTCGAACAGTTACGGCTCATCACTGGATTAGATTGAAAATTATATTTAAATTTGTTATNAAGCCGTTCGCCTCTAATGTGAATCCTTTCGGACAAATACAATATCCATAACCAGAACCCGAATAAATGCAGTCTTGGTTTTGGGGACACGTATTGAGTGTCGAACAGTTACGGCTCATCACTGGATTAGATTGAAAATTATATTTAAATTTGTTATATAATGGATATGCACTCAAAATATGTATTACATATGCAATAATCTCCTTCTCTGACGAATGGTGTCTGACATCCACAGTGTTTGCCATCGTATGTATCGTCAATACAAATGGTATTTCCCGGACATTCCTTGTCTTTCTCGCACTTCATTACTGAGGCATTTAATGAAAAAAAATTGATTAATAAAAAGCTCTTAATTTGTGTATAAGTTCAGAGACTTACAGTCAGGATAGCAAATGGAGTAAGAGTTTCCAGTGTAACCGGTCGGACAGTGACAGACAAAGCCTCCGTCCAGATTAGTACAGAAGGCGTTGAGACCACAGGCGGATTTGGTCAGTTCCGTGCACTCATTCACGTCTGGCAATGGATTACAGAGTTTCCAGTGTAACCGGTCGGACAGTGACAGACAAAGCCTCCGTCCAGATTAGTACAGAAGGCGTTGAGACCACAGGCGGATTTGGTCAGTTCCGTGCACTCATTCACGTCTGGCAATGGATTACATCATATCATTAGTTGACAAATAATGGTGTCATTGAAGTAGTAATTATGTCAAACCTCTGCACTGTTCGCCCACCGCATCCCTTATGTAACCTCTCCTACACACGCATTGATGAGTCCTATTAGTTGTAATGCATTCCTCATTGAGAGGACACGGATTACTGTCTGAACAGTCAATCCTTTCTTTGCCTACATATATGAATGAATGAAATAATTAATATTAATGTGTTTTACAAAAACACTTTCATTTTTTTGAGTTCAAGTTAAACATGCCTTCAATGGAGCACTCGCTATAGGGATCGCCTCTGAAATTATGGGGACAAATGCATTCATAAGAACCCGGAGTATTACGACAGACAGCGTTGTGTCCGCACGGTTTGCTGACCACACACTCATCGATATCTTTTAAAATAAATTAATAATTATTAAAATGAGTATCTCATATTGTATTAAAAAAAGATCAATGAAACTGATATGAAATCGTTGTGAATGTAATTACCGACACAACCGGGAAGACTATTACTCTTTCCGACATAGCCTTCAGCGCAGGCACAGAGAGGGTTACCGCTTGAGTCCAATTCACACTTCGCGTGTTCGCCACAGAATAACTGATCGCATGGGTCTGAAAAGGTGTGTGAAAAGAGTTTTGACAATTCATTAGACATGAGAACCACTAATAATGGATTGCATTAATAATGAGTGAATGAGTGGAGAGGGGCTCACGTTTGCAACTCTCGCCGAAGAATGGCGGCGGACAAACACATCGATTGGTTTTGCAAACGGCATTCCCGGAACAGCCGGTGTTGGCGTCACAGAAGGTCTCGATAACACAGCGAGTGAAGGGCTCGCCGTGACTGCCCGGCGGACACCGACAGCTGAAACTGCCGACAGTGTTGGTACAGACGGCCGAAAAGCCGCACTTTCCGTTCGGTCCGAACACTTGCCTTGTAAGCAATTATAGTTGCGTAAACAGAGACCGTAACGGCCATTTAGGAACGCCTGTGCTCGTGACCATACACGGGTTTCTCAACGATGTTTACCTCAAAAGCGGCGTGACTGGCTTACGGGGCTAGCGTCGGTCGCATTCATCAATGTCTTCGCAATAGCGGAACGGATCGCCAGTAAAGCCTAAGATGTTATGCAATCGTTGTTTTAAGTTCAGGAGTTCAAAGGGATGAGAGAGCGAAAGGGAGAGAAGAAGGAGAGTGAGTGAGTGAGTGAGTGAGTGAGTGAGTGAGTGAGTGAGTGAGTGTGAGAGAGCCTATATAGAGTAGTGAGTGGTGATTAGGGTTGTGTGTATATAGACCTGGTTGGCAGTGGCATCGATGACTTCCGAGCACATTAGTGCAAACAGCTCCCTGTCCACAGAGACCAGAGGGGCCGTGACTAGAGTCGCATTCATTTACGTCTATAATTACGATGAAAATAAAATCATATTAAAGATTACATGAGAGCTGAGAGAAGGAGATTAGGAGAGAAATGAATGAGTTTTTAGCGTGAGGTCACTGACCGACACATCCGAGCGCTATATTGTTGGGATCAAAACTGTAGCCCTGATCGCAGAAACAGTTCGCTTCGATGCCATTCACCTGACAATTGGCGTGTTTTCCACAGTTTACACCATCGCAGGGGGCTATAGATGGAGGGGTAGGACGTAGGCAGAGGGCACCGGGGGTTTAGAGATTAATTAATTTACGCCAACAGAAATAAAAACTAATTAATTATAAACAATTTGACTCACATTTGCAACCAGTGGTGGCGTTTCCTATGAAGCCGTCCTTACAAAGGCATTTATAGCCGCCGTCACTGTTAATGCATTTGGCATTCGCTCCGCACGGGAATCGTCCGAATAGACACTCATTGGCGTCTCTGCACCGACTCTTTGACGTCAACTCAATCTTCTCATATCCGGACCGACACTCGCACTCATACCCGCCCTCAGAGTTCACGCATTTGGCATTCACTCCGCAAATGTTTCTATTCTTGCATTCGTCCACATCTGAGACATTCATTCAAACCATAATTAGTTATAAATATTAATGAAATAATGCTATTATCGCTAAATATTAATGCTATTTAAAGGCAAAATAGATGAAAATATAAATCACATACCAATGCATTCAATGCCACTGATTTGATAACCAATTTTACAGCGACACGCGTTGTCCACACAACCGGCGTTGACAGTGCAGTCGTAATCAAATCTACACGACACGTCCACAGCGGCCCGATCGCACCCGAGGTCGGGTGTGCCTCTGGCCACGTACTTGTCCGGACACTGGCATTGGTACGAACCGGCAATGTTCACGCAGTCAGCCCCCGGACCGCAAGGATTCTGTAGGCATTCGTCAATATCTAGAGTGCAGTGATTAGGAAAATTGGATGAGAAAAATGTTTACAATAAAAAAAAAATTGTCAATCAATGTAAATACCGGCGCAAACGAGTGCCGCGTCTCCGGTATAGCCAACACTACAGACGCACTGATATGAACCCAAAGTGTTATAGCACTCAGTGTTAAGACCGCAAGAGTTGGGACGAAGGCATTCGTCGTCGTCTATGGGATAATGAAATAAATAGTTTAGTTATTTGTAGTGAAAAATAGTAATTGAATTGATTGGATGAATGAATGCTTACCGACACAACCGGCTGATAGATAGGGGTCGCCAACGAAACCATTCTTACATTCGCATAAATAGCTTCCGAGAGTGTTCTGGCAGTGAGTGTTAGCACCGCATGAATGCGGACACTCGTCGACGTCTATTGTATGCCATAAGACATTCAATTATCTCATATAATACTAGATTTGCATTAATAGACATTCGTCTATATCACTCACCCAAACAACTGACTTTTGGATTACCGGTATATCCTGTTTATAGATAACATAAAAACATTTTATAATTATCTTTAATTTCTCAAATCAAGCATTTTTGGCACTAATTATTGAAATTAATTATTAAAATCACTTCGAAATCAGTGAAATTTGTACTCATAATATGTCTGTAAATTGAGTTTTTCGCACTTTTGCCTAATCTATCATTTTTACGGTTCGGATACTAATCAATATAAATATGCCTTTTATTTCATATATTATTCAATTTAAGCAAAGGATTCATTCATCAAAATTTCAATCAAATTATAAATTCTATACATTAATAGAAAGAATATATCGAAACTCAATTCGTGTGAAAGAGTTTTTTCACATTTGTTTGTCTCACTATTAATGGGTTTCGAAGAAAAACATATTTCATAACAACTGAATGATTGGAATTTTTTTCCTATAAAACTATTAATATTGCAAATAATGATTCAAATCTATATTCTGGTAATTTGTAAGGAAAATAGGATTTCAAAAGTTTGTATAATATATCTGTGGTTCAGGTTTTTGTACGAACTGTTGGGTCGTTTGATTGATGAACATATTACAATATTTAATATGCTTTATATAACTTTTTATTTCTGTAAGAGGAGCTTTATATATTTTTATAGATAAGTAAAGTAAAGTATGGGGGACTGCAATTAAGAGTGATAAAAAGAGTATTTTTTATTATCATGAATTCGTTTCAGGAATTTCATCAAAAAGGTTTGCTTTAGTTATCATTTTATGATATGATATATAACTTTCTGTTCGGGGTTTCACTTCTCAAACTCGTAATATGATTTTCAAACTTCAAAACAAAAAAGTTTTGAAAAATATTAATCTAAACACAAAATATCGTTAATTGAAATATTGAGTTTTTTACGTTTTTCTGGCAAAATATGGCTAAAACTCAATATTTCAATTAACGATATTTTGTGTTTAGATTAATATTTTTCAAAACTTTTTTGTACTAACATAATCAGCATTCATAGTAGTATCTAAGAATATAATTCAATGTATTTAATTCTAATTTTATTTTACCCTCCCATAGGTTAACATGCAAAAATAGGTCATTTTTATTCATTTATTGCATAAAAACCTGCAATGCTATCATGATGGTTTTAAGTTTATGCAACACTGTGACATCTCCTTTATCCACCCCTAACCCTCACCTCTCCCTTCTATTACCACAACAGCAAATAAGTATGGGTTCCGAAAATTACCCATTTTTCAAAAAATATAATCACGTGACTAAAAAAATATTTATGTTATAAAATTTTCCCGATATGGCTCTATATATGTGTGAAGTCACACTAGTGTCACTTCAGCTGTTCCCGAGTAATCGCCAAATTCCGACGGCCAAAAGATTTTGAAACCCTTTATACATGAATTCGTTTCAGGAATTTCATCAAAAAGGTTTGCTTTAGTTATCATTTTATGATATGATATATAACTTTCTGTTCGGGGTTTCACTTCTCAAACTCGTAATATGATTTTCAAACTTCAAATAAATACCATATAATTAAATGTATGGCAATGTTTTAAGTCAACGTCTAATATCTAAATAAATGGTTTCTTTATTCACTTCTCCGGAGACTCCACTGATTGAGTCTTAAGTAAGTATTAAACAAATTCTGATGATCTGAATCCCTATAATTTTTCTTTCTCTGCGTTTTGGTATTTTGTTGATGAGTTTAATATTAAAATTCAAATCGATTTGATTTATTTAAATAACCAAATGTTGTGATCAGTTTAAGCACTGGAAATGCCTTACCTGTGGGGCACTGACAGAAATGACCTCCGGGTGTGTTGACACAGTTGGCTCCGACCCCGCATATGGAGGCACCGCTGGCCACACACTCGTCCACATCAACGCAACCGAGATCTGGCGTAGGGTTACCCCTATATCCGGATGGACACGAGCACTCATATGACCCTGGTATGTTTGTACAATGGGCTCCCTGTCCGCATGGGTTCGCTTTGCATTCGTCAATATCTGTTCATTGGTTTCAAAGGATTGTGTGTTGTTTTTGGGGGTAAAGAAGAAAGTATGTGAGAAAAATTCCTGTATTTTTTATTGTCATTAAGATTTTGGCGAATAAGTTATGAAAATGTTGTCAAATGCCGTCAAATATATTATATGTAAATAATAATAAAAAATATTATAATATTATTTTTTATGGATATTATCTCTCAAATTGTATTCATAATTCTTGTGTTGAGTTGAGAGGCAATAAAGTGTCGGAAAAGAAAGTTTTAAGTTTGATGTGAAAGTTCAGTGAAGTTAAGCCTAAACTAAGACAAGTGTTTAATTTCGCAATTATTTGAAAACTCGAATCATTAAAGTATTGGAGTCGACGAAAAGTGAAATAAGGAGAGAGAGAGAGAGAGAGAGAGAGGAAGAGATAGTATGATGATGATTTAAATAAATTAGTGATAAGAGTATTAACCGTTAATTTTGTTTTAAATGTTCATTTTAATGGTCGTTAAGTTGTATTGAAAATGAATTCACTTTCTATTGAAAGTATTGTTAATAATAGAGAGAAGAATAAGAGAGAGAGAGAGAGAGAGAGAGAGAGAGAGAGAAAGCTTGTATATGTATGGGATATAGCCTTAGAGTTTCGTTTTTGGTGGTGAAAAAACCTGTACTTAACCTTAACATAAAATATTTAAAATATATATTAAATAATGATCGCTCTCTTATGTATTCATAACTCAAATGCTCTGCATTTTTACTCAATTGTGAAGAACATGTTCTCACTATTAATTCAATATAAGAATACCCTATAATTAAAACCTAAAGAATTGTAGTGAAAATATGGTTTTTGTTGAAAATAAAGGTTTATGTAATTAATGAAGTCTGAAGTCTGTTATGTTAATACAGTTCCACGAAAAAAACTATTGCTTTCAAATTTATTCACAGATATTGAATGACTACATCTCACTATCTTTTAGTTTGAGTTGTTATTGTATTTCCAAACAAAAAACGAAAGCACAAAACAAAAAAACAAGTTTATTATACCTATCCGTGAATATAATGCATGTAATATAGCGGTCAGACCACTCGGTCTGTGAAAGCTGTTACTCAAATCGTATAATTGTTTGATTATAACCTAAACTAATATATAAATCGTTTAAAGTGACTGTTTATGCAACTGATAGTCAGCGTTAGCTCCGAAACCGAAAACATTAATTAGACTTAAAGTTTAGACGCTTTTCTATTTGTGTGACGGCATCGGAGCTGTTATTTCGGTCATAACTTATATGTAATAATAGTGTGAATGCAAACAACAGCTCTCACCCCAACATTCCAGCGCCGGATCGCCTTCAAAGCCTAGTGGACAGTGACAGACATGACTGCCCGGAAGGTTCTCGCATACGGCCCCTCTTCCGCAACAGCTCGGGTTCAGACACTCGTCGATGTCTTAATAATAAGGAGACAAAAAAGCGTACATTAAAACGAGAGTTACCCAACATATTTGTATTACTTTTTTTAATAATCAGGTTTTTTATATATACGGTATACGGGAGTGACAAATAAGGTATTATGAAAATAAAAACATAGAGAAAGGTTTGAATCAAACCCGTTCTGTACGATACATACCAGTGCAGGAAACGGTTGCGTTGCCTGTGAAGCCAGGCTGGCATTTGCAAACGAAATGCCCGGGAAGGTTACAGCACTCGGCGTTATCCGCACACAAACCCGCCAGCGCTGGGATCTCACACTCGTTGATGTCTGTTAGTGTCCGGTGAGAAGAGATTCAAACGACCATTAAAATGAACATTTAAAACAAAATTAACGGTTAATACTCTTATCACTAATTTATTTAAATCATCATCATACTATCTCTTCCTCTCTCCCTCTCTCTCTCTCTCTCTCTCTTAATTCTTAACTCTTCCTCGAGTTCTTGAATACTATTTTTCTCTCAACTCATTCTTCATTGAAGGAGAAAGAAAGCGACGATTAATTGCTTTCATTCTTTAATTAACTACAACTTCTATCTCACAGTAAATTTTAAAAAAAGTTTTGTATAAAAACTTTAATAACAAACACTTGTGTCAATCAAAAGCTCCTCTTATTAGACTCGAGAAAAGAGAGGATAAGATAGTATGAATTGCAATGCATTGCATTTTTTAGGCATTTATATTCTTCGAGATATAATATAATTATACAAACCATGACATGAAAAGCCGTCGCCGTCGTAACCGGGAAAACAGGAACAATAATAGCTGCCCATAGTATTAGTGCAGTGCGCAAACACATCGCACGGACGGTATTTACACTCGTTTTCATCTATAATTTCATTTTTTTCGTATATCAAAAGAAAACATATATTAAATTATGGCTTCGATTCTTTGGGTCCCTCTTTCTTGTTATGTAAGAAATATCGCTTTTTTCTTCTCCACAACACAAAAGGCAACTCTTTTTACGAGAATAGGACTTAACAAAAGACTTAACAAACATATTGGACGTGTAATGTATGTGTATATCCTATCTATCTATACATGTCTAGTGAATGGTTTAGTAATATGATTGAGGCATACCTGGGAGGTCGCATCCTTTGCCACCGAATCCATCGTTACAATAGCATAGACTGTCTAAACAGACGCCATTCAAACACTTTGGCATCTTTGGGTGGCAGTGATCTGTAAGTTGTCATTTCAAACAACCACAAGAAAAAAGTGGGGAACAAATGAGTTCACAAATTGTCTAATCAAATGGTAATCCATGTGTTGATTGAGACAACAAACTCACTTCGATCGGTGCACTTGAGCTCCAACGAGACCTCATCGGAGCCCTGAAAACACTGAGGTATTCCATCACAAAGTTTTGATAATTCAAACAATTGTAGAAAATCTGTGGATTCGTTCACTTGACAGCCGAAGTATCCGTCCTCAAGATTTAACAGAAATATCTCCCTTTGAACGTAAGGTGAGGGCCATTTGGGCCTATACTGTGCCCAACTTAAACACGTTAGGCTCAGCACATATAACAGCCCCAACACCAGCCCTTTCACTAAATCCATCGGAACTGTCAAATTGTGGGGAAAATTGTTTTTTAATTTTTTTATATCACTTTTTCGATACAATTATTAGAAAATATGTTTTAAAAACGAAAAATGAAATTTGAAAAGAAAAACACAGAATTGATGTCAAATTGAAAGTTAAATCATTTAAAATTCATTTCATTTGTCACATGAAATAAAACCATTTAATGATTCAATTTAAATGAAATAAGTTTTCCTTTTTCTCTGATTCATTAGTAAATTAATATAAAAAATATGATTTAATTAAATAAAATGTAACAGAATTTTTCGTCGTCTCGTTAAACGTCACATAATTATCGTTATTATTATTATAATTATTAATTTCACTTTAGATCTCAAACTGAGACAAACATTTGGTTACGAGATATCTATTAGAAGTATAACTACTGGCATAAGAAATAACATAAGAAAAACGTTTAATCCATTTATGAATCGTCCAAATCAGGTAACCTTAAAGAGTTGCCTACAATTGATTCAGGACTACGATTGTGATGAAGTGTAGGCGCGATTGAGGCGGCGGTGAAGACCAATAAACAACTTATTGAGCACAAGGGCAGCACAACATCGGCACTAATACGATACAAATGCTCAAACAAGTCATGGCACAAGTCATGGTATCGGTGGATGTGTTTGCGATTTTGATTAATTTTATATATAGATATACAAACATATGAATGAATGACTGAATGAATGACTGAATGAATGAGTCAATAATTTCTGTATATATTACGGTCTAATACTTAATTACAAATTTGCTTTTATGCCATTTAAAAATATTTTTTCGACAGATATTTTTGAATTTATTTATTTTATAGTAAATGTATTCAAATGCAACAAATTTGAGGAGACGTAAGATCTTATTGACAAATAGGAGTGAAATGTTGAGAGACATCGAGAGTGTATGTCAAAGATGTTAGAGACAGGACTAATGTAATGGTTAGTTGGCTTTTGTCGGTCAATAATCTTTACACACAACAACATGAGAGAGAGAGAGAGAGAGAGAGAGAGAGGAAGAGATAGTATGATGATGATTTAAATAAATTAGTGATAAGAGTATTAACCGTTAATTAGGACTAATGTAATGGTTAGTTGGCTTTTGTCGGTCAATAATCTTTACACACAACAACATGAGAGAGAGAGAGAGAGAGAGAGAGAGAGAGAGAGAGCTACAAATATTAG